AGTTCTTGTTCAAAATTGCATATACATGGTTGTCATGTTTTACAAAACAGTCCTTGAGAATCATCTTAGATTATTTGAGATATAGTCTGTCTAGGATGATGTCATGAATTTACAGTAAGTACAGTCTGAGAAGTAAGGGAATTTATTTCTGCTTCTCAGAAAGGTGTGCTTCTTCTCAAATTTCTAATATAGATGTGCTCACATTTGGATGTCTATGCTAGAAAACCAGGCACACACACTCACAGACATGCAACAAGTTGTGGATCACTCCAGGAAGTCAGCATAGTGACAGAGATTGAAAATAAGCTCCTGGAAGACCAAGGTCATGAATCAACTTGCATTGAGTGAACCCCCCACTCATCTAAAACATGTCATTGGAGATGCCAAGCTGAAAGCTGTCACTGAAACCTGTTATCTTTGCAGAAGGCTGTCAAGTGTTGAAAGTCAAGTAGAAAACCACATCAGAGAGCCCAGCGAATTGCCTTTGGCAGCTTCTGGAATGTGGCACTGAGGTGGCACTTGGCTCTGAGGTCTGATTACACCCAGACGGGCAACACTATGGTCCCCCACATTCAGATTGTGGGGGGGGAGTCAATATTCCCATCGTGGTTCTCCAAAGGATGCTCACATTGGAAACATAAAAGCAGGACCACTGGTAGAGAAATTATGAATTGTAACAGTAAATATACAATCTACATTGGGGAAAAGAGGGAGGGGTGAAAAAGTGTGTACAGATAACCTTATCAGTCACACATTTTTCCTGAGCAGAGAGACCCAGATGGATAACTTAAGGTACAGGAGAGGATAGCCTGAGGCAAGGAGAACTGATCATGAGAACATTACAAAGAAGAGTCTGAAGTCAGGAATCATGGTGCTGACTGAGAAGCAATTCTATGAACACACCAGGCCAACCCAAAGCAATCAACCATGAATAATCTCAGACAAATGTTGATTTGGAGAAGGAAAATGGATCCCCCCAAAGTCGCCCATGCAGCCACTTAGGTCAAAAGAAAAGGCAATTCTGGGGCACCTGAGGGGGCACAGTTGGCTGAGCACCGACCCTTGGTGTCAGCTTGGGTCTAATCTCAGGGTTGTGAGGTGGAGCCCCGTGTCCAGCTCCACACTCAAGTGGAGACTGCTTGAGTTTCTCTCTCTTCTCTCTCTGTGTTCTCCTCCCTGGACTCTGGGGTCTATCACGTTCTAAAGGAAACACATAAAATTTTTAAACAGAAAGGAAAGAAGAAAGGATGGAAAGAAGGAGAAAGAAAGAAAAAAAAAAAAGAAAAAGGCAAGTTTGTGACCCACAATAAGAATGAAACCAAAGGGCTGACACTGAAGTTGTTTTAGCCCAGTGTGGGGGCTGTGGCCAGCCCAGGCTGTTGAAAGGGATTACTAAGAGTGGTTTGTAGTGACACCCTTGGTTACAAAGGGATCGTTTCAAAAAAGAGAGAGAGACAGTGAGCTTGTTTTAATGGATTAGAGTTATAAGAGTCAAAAAATAAGATATGAAAAATATACTTAGTACCAATAGAAAATGAGGTAGCACTAAGCAGAGATATAATATAACACCCCTGTGTTTATTTTCAGGTCAGACTGTGGAGCACAGCAAGGCATTCTCTAATTCAATGGACCATCTGAAACTGATAATTGCACAATAGCGATTAAAAGGGAGGCAGCTCTTTGTAGTAGCAATGGTGAAAATATGAAGTTCTGTATTCATAAATTTCCAAAGACAAATAAGGGTGATGGGGGTAATTAAAGGCAGGAGCATCAAGTTGCTGGCCTGATATGTAAAAGCACGAGAACATGTTCCTCTGTCCTCTAATGTAATAGGAAATATTAAAGCAAAACCTTGGGGAACCTGGGTGGCTCAGTCAGTTAAGCTGCTGCCTTTGGCTCAGGTCATGATCCCAGGGTCCTGGGATTGACCCTGGCATCAGACTCCAAGCTGAGCGGGGAGCCTGCTTCTCCCCTACCTACCATTTCCCCTGCCTGTGTATGCTCTCTCCCTCCCTCTCTCTCTGTGTCAAATAAATAAATAAATAAATATCTTAAAAAAAAAAAAAAGCAAAAACCCAAGGAGGTAAGAATTTTACTTCCATTTGTGCATTTGGCACAGAGCTGTCCAACAGACCTTTTCGCAATGACAGAATGCACTTGATCTTGCCGCCACCTTATGGTAACTGCTGGCCATATGTGGCTACCAAGCATTTCAAATGCGGCCGGTATAATACTACCTATGACCCACAGATTCAGTGCAATTGCTATCAAAATTTTAAGGGTATTTTTCATAGAAATAGTAAAAACAACCCTAAAATTTCTACAAAACCATAAAAGACCCTGAAGAGCCAAAGGAATTCTAAGAAAGAAGAATGAAGCTGGAGGCATCTCAAACTATGCTACAAAGCTACAGTAACCAAAAGAGTGTGATACTGGTGTAGCAACACACACAGACTAATGAACAGAATCTAGAGTCCAGAAATAAACACACACACATATACAATGTATAACCAACTAATATTTGACATGAGAGTCAAGAACACTCAATGGGAAAGGATAGTCTGTCTCTTCTATAAATGGCGTTGGAAAAACTAAGTATTCACATGCAAAAGTTAATGAAGTTGGACTCCTACCTTACATTATTCACAATAATTAACTTGAATGAATTAAAGACTCTAATGTATGACCTGAAGCCATAAAACTCCTAGAAGAAAAGATCAGGTAAAAGCGCCTAGACATTGGTCTTAGTGATGATTTTTTGGACAGACCACGAAAAGCACGAGCAACACAAGAAAAACCAAACAAGTGAGACCACATTGAACTAAAAAGCTTCTTTCTTCTTTCTCCACAGCAAAAGAAACAATTTAAAAAAATAAAAAGGCAATCTATTGAATAGGAAAAAAAAATTTGCAAACTATACATGTGATAGAGATTTTAATACCCAATATACATAAAGAACTCATGCAACTTATTAGCAAAAAACCCCAATAAAAACCCACTATAAAATCCAAAAAAACCCCAAAACAACTCAATAACCCTGGTTAAAAGTTGGCAAAAGATCCTAGGCATGTTCCCAAAGATACACAAAGGACCAATAGGTACACGAAAAGTGCTCAATGACAATCAGGGAAATGTAAATCAAAACCACAATAACGGCGCCTGGATGACTCAGTTGGTTGAGCAACTGCCCTCAGCTCAGATCATGATCCCAGAGTCCAGGGATCAAGTCCCACATCAGGCTCCCAGCTCCTCAGGGAGTCTGCTTCTCTCTCTGATGTTCTCCCATCTCATGTTCTCTCTCCCTTTCTCTTTCTCCCTCTAGTAAATAAATAAATAAAATCTTTCAAAAAAGAAAAAAAAAAAAAACACCAAAAAAAACCCCACAATAAGATAGCTCCTCACACCTGTGAGGATGGCTATTATCAAGAAAGACAAGACATAAAAAGTATTGGTGAGGATGTGGAGAAAAGCGAACCCTTGTACACTGTTGGTGGGAACAGAAAATGGTGCAGATGCTACAGAAAAGAATATGGCAGTTCCTCAAAACACTAAAAATACAACTACCATATGAGCCAACAGTTCTACTTCTGGAAATTCTACTTCAGGAAATGAAATCACTATCCCAAAGAGATATCTGCCTCCTCCATGTTCACTATAGCATTATTCACAAGAGCTGACACATAGAAACAATGAGTGTCCACAACTGATGACCAGACAAGTACAACATACATTGGAGTATTACTCTGCCATAAAAAAGAAAGAAATCGTGCCATCTGTGACAACATGGGTGGACCTTAAGGGCATTATATTCAGTGAAGTAAGTCAGACAAAGACAAATGTTCTATGGTCTCACCTATATATGTTATCTAAAAAAGCCGAAATCGGGGCGCCTGGGTGGCTCAGTGGGTTAAGCCGCTGCCTTCGGCTCAGGTCATGATCTCGGGGTCCTGGGATCGAGTCCCACATGGGACTCTCAGCTCAGCGGGGAGCCTGCTTCCCTCTCCCTCTCTCTCTGCCTGCCTCTCTGCCTACTTCTGATCTCTGTCAAATAAATAAATAAAAACCTTTAAAAAAAAAAAAAGCTGAAATCATAGAAACAGAGAGTAGAATGGTGGTTGCCAGGGGCTGAATGTGCGGTAAATGGAAAGATGTGATCAAAGGCTATAAAGGTCCATTTTAAGAGAAGTAAGTTCTGGGGATGTATAATCATGGGGACTATAGTCAACAATACCTTACTGCATACTACAAAGCTGCTAAGAAAGTATGTCTTAAATGTTCTCACTAAAAGAAACAAAGGAAGGGAGGAAGGAAGGCGGGGGGAGGGAACTGAGGATGTGAAATGATTAGAGTGTTAACTAACCAAATTACGGTAATTACTTGGAAATATAAACATGTATCAAATCATCACATTATATATATATTAAACTTATATCATGTTAAATAAAAGTCAGATCTTGCCCTCCCCCAAAAAAACTCCACGAAGATTTTAATGTGTATCCTCTGCTTTCAAACGCTGCACATAAACAACCTAACAAAGTCGGGGGGAAATACAAAAAAAGATACGTGGCTATTACAACTGAGGGAGTGAACTTTAGTCTTACTTACTGACGGACTTAATAGTTAAATTTAAATAGCCACATGTGGCTAGCAGCCACCATAAAGGTTAAAGCAGATTTCTGAAAGTCCATTTTATATACATTTTACCTATATGGATTCACTAAATCCTTACAACCTTATGAGGGTGATATTTTATTACGCACCTTTATTGTATTTCTAAAACCCGAGGCACAGAGTGGTTAAGTAATTTGCCCCAAATCACACAGCTTGTAGAGCAAATGGCTGATTCTAGAACCAAGAGCTAACTCCAAAGCTCTCACTCTACGTTCCTTATAGCAACACGCACTACTTAAGGAGCAAAAACCATGGGCAAGGTAAATATTAGAGCCATCTAAAACTATTTCCCATTGATTTGTTGACTAGTAAAAAAGTCAGGAGTCTACCTGTCTTCCCTGTGTTTTTCATCCAGGTTTTGTTAGAAGACTCATTGTCAAAGCCATCCAGCTGCAGCTCCTGGTACTCTTCGCCGACCCGTGCATGCTGGTCTACAATGTCTATGGGAGACTGGAGACGGCCCCCGCAGCTGACACTAGACGTGACCCAGTGCTCAGGACCATAGGCACCTGTTAAAAGAGAACCATACTTCAGTCCTCATGACTCAAGGGTTAGGGATGAAATGTAAAATGGATGGGAAAAAGGATGTAAAAAGCCAACCACTGTATCTCTGAAAGTACATCCCCCATACCCCACCCCCGCCAATGTTCCTACCCAAAGATGTCAGTCTGTTGAAAACTATGGATCCAAGCCATTTACTTGATAGGGCAATAAGATTAAAGAAAAGACATGTTCCTTAAGATGGTTTTGCTTCTTGATTTGTAATCAAACATTTGCTACTTTATCTGTAATCAGATTAAGGAAGCTGAGCAGAAGGGCTGTCAGAGTTGTTCACATTTTTAAAAAATTCTAAGTAAGTCTTCCAAAATAAGCAAAGCATTTATTCACAAGAAACCACCTTCCTCTGTTCAGCATGTTTTGCAGTTACCAACGGTATACCAAACACAACAGCTCCTAGGAGTTTGTGAACTGGAAAAAGGAAAAATTAAAAATTAAAGGCCACATGACACAGGATGAGAGTCATGACAAATAATGGGGCAATGAGGCAGGATTTTCTTTTGGTTAATTGTGGAAGATTTTTCGGTTTGGCCAGAAATTGTAAATTAGTGGATTCAGGCACTCACCTCTCCTTCTCAATCCCTCCCTGGCATAGGACATGAGGGTATAAAGGTGCATTCAGAATGAATACGGCACTCATATAAATGCAGGCTTTTGGGGGGGATACACGCAGCAGGAATGAAAATGCAACAGTGCAGAATCCTACTGGGTACCAAGCAGGCATGGGCAGAGAAAACATACCGCACCCACCTGTCTGCACTACTTGGAAATGAAATAATCTGGGGGTGATGTCTATTAAGTTGATAACAGGCTCTGAGATTTTTCTGCACCCAGCCTTTAACCTTCTTGACAAAGCAGGAGTGGCCCCTTGAAAGGAAACACCCTTTGCTAGAAAGATTAACATACATCTCTTTTTAAGAATTGGATATGAAATAAATCTAAATGATATAATTTTTAGGTTTCCCAAACAATAAAGTATAATGTGCATATATATATATATATATATATATATATAGCGAGAGAGAGAGAGAGAGACCTAGGTTTCAGTTTTACATTTCTTCACATATCAGATGAGGATGGAATGGTCAAAGTGATCTAAAGAGACCAACCCACCCGACCACCAGTACTTTCCTATCTCTCTCTAAACCTAGCATCGTGTAATGGAGAAACAGAGACACCGTAAGTCTTCCTACTGCTGAATAAAAGCTTACACACCTGTGCCGAACCCACTACCATGTTCACACAGGCCATCAATATCCCCACACCCCTCAGTCGATACAGCTCACAGCTGATGTAAACAATGGTCCCATGAAAAAAGAGACAACCACAGAACATCTTTTTAGTCACGGTAATGGTCAAGGCTGCAAGAGCAATCGATGTGACCCCCCAAAAAATGATGCATATTCTTGCTACCTGGCAAATAACCTGGCTTCCTTCTACCCCTGGGTCATTTTCCCTAATTCTCATCCAAAACAGTAAGATGGGAAAGACTATCAGGAAGAACACACTCCCTGCTTGGCAAAGGTTTAGCAACCTCAGGGCACTTTTCAAAATCATTTACAAGTGTCATAAGGCTTTCTAGAAAAAGTTAACATCACCATTTTCTTGACTATAAAGCTCCTTACTAAAAGAAGAAGCATCAAGGGCTTTTCACTCATGTTTCCTCACCTCTTGGTCAAATTCCCTAAGACTCTGATGAGTCATAAAGAACAGAGTGTGCATTTGCATATATTCTAGCCAAACTTTATTTTCATCTTGCATCATTACATTTGAAGGAAAAAAGGAGGGGAAAAGGGACATAAGGAATAGCTCCAATTTCCTGTCCATTCTTTAAATTTTCTTCCAGAGGAATAAAGTGATTGTTGATGTGTCTCGTGAGCCTATATGTTCAAATTATGGAAACTAATGTTTTATTTTTTTAAAAGATTTTATTTATTTGACAGTGGGGGGAAGGAGGAAGGGCACACACAAGCAGAGGGAGCCATAGGCAGAGCGAAAAGGAGATGCAGGCTCCCCACTGAATAGAGAGCCCCAAGGCTGGGCTTGATCCCAGGATTCTGGGATCAGGACCTGAGCCAAAGCCAGATGCTTACTGACTGAGCCACCAAGGCACCCCTGGAAGTTAAAGTTTTAATATCGTGTGTGTGTGTGTGTGTGTGTGTGTGTGTGTGTGTGTAATGACTTTTAGAAACTCACGAGTACAGTAAAATTATACTCAATGAAAAAAACGCACAGTAAAATAAATCCAAACATGTTTGACTCCAAAGAAATAAGAATGCAAGCTGTCCTTTGTAAAAACACAGACACCTCATAATTATCCTACTAATAAAGAAAAACTCTGAGAAGCACACTTTCCATTCATATTATTTCTCAAAACCTTCTAGACATGGGTGACATATAATTTAGCACTCTTTAAAAATATAATCAGGGTTTGTACCAGTGGGATTCATTTATTCACTGGTAACAATCTGAAGATTTAAGCTGACTACATGCTTGCTTTCACACTTCTACCCAATGTACATTCAAGTGCAATTTTAATTGAAACTGATCTTCCACTTCAGATTTTAAATTAATTTTTCTTTGGAGTGCTTCATGCTCCAGACTCCCTTGCCTTGCAAAAACCCCTATGTCATTAGTGGAGGAAATAGAACGCTTTTCCAAGCTTGGAGGTATTGATTACCTATTCTCACATCGAAGCACCATCGCCATTCCACACTGTATAAATCTTTCCAGTGTTAAGACACTTTATAAAGCGCTGAGAATTATATCATTAATCATTTGCAGTTGTACAATCTCAGAGTATTGAATGCTTTGTTTTTCAGAAGTTTGAATAAATGCTTTTAAGTAAAAAACATGACACTAAATAAAGACCGTGGTTAACTTAAACCTAGTTTTGGGGAGAAAACCAATCAGCAAGAAGCCTTCCACCCTCAGATATGACATTCTCTCTCTAAAATAAAAAGGAAAAGTCATTTGCACTTCAGTTTCCCCTTACTGACTCTTTCTTAGAATGAGAAGGACATGTGCAGTTGGCAACCGGACCCATTTTCAATGGCTAACCAACTCCGACATAGCGACCTACTAGACAAGGCTATCTTCCCAAAAGGGGCAGGCTGGACCGGGAGCATAGAAACCACAGGGCAGCTGGGCTGCCCAAAGTAATTTGCCATTCACCTGTTGAGAGTCTTGTGGGAATGCAATCTTCATGAAGACATGCTGCCAACATATTTGCAGCCCGAGAATCTATACTGGCAGTGAAACCTCACTCAACCTGTGATGAAAGCTACTTTCTTTTTAGTGAATTCCATGAATGCATTTAAAACTCCTGCCTAAAGGTTTAATATCGTCAATACACTCAGGTGGTTTCCATGAGGCATATACACAAGGGCCGTGTACCACTTGGCAATGGGCACCTGTGTTCTTTGGGACAGCCTATCACTCATGCAATTTGTTGTCCATTTCTTAATTTAATGTCTGTCTAACTCATTAGTTCCTGACTCTCAGAAGAGGTTCCTTCTCTGTGTTGTTTACCATTATTGCCATACGTAGAGCACAGCCCTACCTACAGAGTGCTAATACGTATTTTTGCGCACAAATACATGAATTAGAAGATGACATTAAAGAGTTGCATAGTTGTGTCTCCTAATGACACTATGGTGCTATTTTGGTTTTAATTTTATACTTTTATCTCCTGACTTCTTCCTACTCTTCCTGACTCCCTTGGTTTCAAGAGTCAGGAGGTCAACCTCCTTCCTTTCATCACTAGTAGGTTAAATTAGTCTGAATGGGGAGAAGGTACAACAAGCAGTTTATGAAGTACAAGATGGAAGCTGTGTGCAAATTTAACTAGCCCACTAAAGGCAATTACACTTTTTTTAAAGAAAGGAATGTGACAGAACTTTGCTTTCAACGCCTTTCATGAAGCATGATTATTTTTAAGGCTCTCTTATTTTTTCTATGCTTTAGCAGAGCTCTCTATTGAAAGAAGGTCAGTTAAAGAGCAAAACCAGTCTTGTTCATCAGTTCATCGCTGTACACATTTAAAATATGGTCTTTGACACCTGCTCTGTACCAGCCACAGTGCTACAAAGTGGATGCCAGCAGGTGGAGCTGCCACAGTTCACCTGGGCTTCCCCTGGACAACTGAAGCTGCCAGAGGCTCAGTCTGCTCATCTGTACAATGGGAAAAATTAGTGGTGTCCAAGTCATAGGGTAGTTTTGAGGATTATATGAGATAAGCAATGGAAAATACTTTAAGAAGTACCCAACAATAGGGCACATGGGTGGTTCCAGTGGTTAAGCATCTGCCTTCAGCTCAGATCATGATCCTGGGGTCCTGGGATTGAGGCCCATGTCAGGTTCTCTGCTCAGTGTGTGTGTGTCGGGGCGGGGGGGTCATGTTTCTCCCTTTCCCTCTCCCTCTGTTCTCTCTCTCAAATACATAAATGAAAGAAGAGCCCAGCAATGAAAACTCCGTAAATGGTGGCTACTTTCACTGCCACTGCTATTGTTACAAAAACGTGTCACAGGCCCTCAAGAACTTGACTGTCTAATGCAGAAAACAAGCATGCAGCCCAATTAAAGGCTAAGGCAGGTGGATACCAGCATTTTGTCATATACAAAGAGAGAAGAGAGGCCCTCACCTCCCCGAGGGCAGGACTTTGAAGGTGACATTTCAGGGGAGTCCCTCCTTGAAATGCTGAAAAGTATACTGGGCCCTGGTGCTCCCCATTTTGGAGAACGTGAGACAAAAAGTACCCTTGATCCTCTGGGAAGTGGAGCTTAAGCCCATCGACAGCTGGACTTAGTGCCTAGCTTTCAAAGAACAGAAAAAGCAAGCTTCCCAGTGGAGAAGCCTGGTAATCCCACCTTAACCAGGTAGTGAAGGTTACCATCACCTATGATGCCACAGACCATCAGGCACATCTTGACAGATGTGGTAAGAAGGGCA